TACAGGTTGAATCAGTCCACGAAACCTTCTCTTTCTTTCAGATGAAAACGTGCTGAGGTTTGGTTTATCCTATAATAGACATTATCAGAGCTAGAACTCATTCTTGTAAAAGTCTCAGGTCAACACCAGGTCAAGAAGATCACCCGGCATTTTCTTGTCTATTAACTCGTAACCTGACTTACCTGCTTACATCTCATTATCTCAACCATAGTAAATTGAGGACTTAAGCAGCCTCAGTGAGGGCTTTATCTTGGATTATTAAGCATTTATCACCAAAGACTGACATTCGGCTTTTTTGATCAATCTGATTTAGGAACGGTATTGTATAAAGACGTTAGCTCACATACATACAAACACATGAGCAAAAGTAACTTGATCAAAATGAAAGATAATTATCCAAACCATTCAATATCCATCTTTGCATATTTGTCTTCGTTTTTTAGTTATGAGTATATATAAGGGTTAGATGGAGCCAGCAAGTCTTCTTGGTCTAGTGTTAACGTGAGACTTTTGCCAGAATGAGTTCCAGCTTTGATGATGTCCAACATGTAATGGATGAAAGCTTAGCCAGTTTTTATCTGAAACAGGGAAGAATATCTCGTGGACTGCGTCAAACTGAACGTATTAAAGCCGAAAGTTTGCAGTACAACGGAAATTAACCGTCGTATTCTGGTGGAATCTCTTCCTTATGCACTTTCATACAAAATTAAAGTCTCTTCAACAAATATTAAGTAAATGAGATGTATGAACGAAAATATGTTAATAGCATATCCATAAACAACAAAAATTTCAATAGAATTTCAAAGGGCTATTTTGTACAGGATAAAATATTTGTATGAACTTATACAGTTTTGTTATAATCCTCGCAACAACAAATCAGTAAACCGTAAGCTTTCAAAGAATACGTAACACTATTCAGAACGTTACCTATCGTCACACTTTCCTGCGGCGACCTAAAGACCATTTGACCGCCTCTTAAGTCCCCCTGTTGAGTCAATCAGAACAGAGCATTTAAAGTATTTTAAGCCAAAACATCCTAGAATGATGAACATTATCTTAACCACTACTCTTGTCACTTGTGAGAGCGGTGTCTGATCAATGCTCTCACACCGATGCCACACGCCGCAGACGTGTTTGCTTCTACACTAAATTTCCTCCTATAATGGTTCTTGTCTTATACAAGTTAGTTGGGGACTCCTATTGATTTTTTTCTATACAAGGCTGAGGTATTCTTCATAGTAGCGCAAAACAGAACACATATTATTTTATTTAGAGCTAGATCACTGAAGATTAAATCCAAAAAATTACAAATGAACATGTTAGACAGGACAAGGTTCAAAAATAATACTTATTATTATCTCAGATGTGCGAACGATGCCATCATTAGTTGCCACAACCGGCACAGCCATATAATTGCGATAAATAGTTGGATTACTAAGTTTAATTTAACGTTGTGTAAAGACTAAACTGTTGTCGAAATTGGCTTAGTATATAACTAAAAGTAAATAAAATAACTTACCATTCTGGCTTTCTGGTTGCATATGGTTTGAAGCCGATCTGAGCAGATTTTTCATTCATATTGTATTGCTCAATATCAATTTCTATTGCAGTTTCTTTATTCATTATGTCTTCATGGAAAGACGTATGAGCATCCTGCATAATACAGAGTTGCCTAAATGCCTCTTCGATATCATTCTGGAGATTACCTTGAACTTCACTAAGCAGGCGCTGTTCCTTAAAGATAAATAAAAAATATTACCAGTATATAATGGATTTCTAAAGCGACTTATTAATTACTTATAATGCAAGCTCATCTGTTTCTGAATATATAGTCAAGTAATATACATGAGAATCGATTAATTCATGTATACATGGCAAAAGTCCATAAGAACAATCTTGCGAAAACTGGGTTTCTCTTTAGCTATCCGTATACAATAAAAAGTGACATAATCGGTAGTTCATGGTAAATTTTTGATAATATCTAATTAGCATTTCAAATAAAATTTTATTTAATCGATCTAAAATATAAGTAATTATCTAGAATCTATCTAATAGTATGATTTTTAAAGCCCTTATCCAAATAATACACAGAAAGAATGTGCAAAGTTGTTTGGAATATCCTACTTCTGATTAGCAAGCTTTTTCGCTAAATGATTTTCAAATATTTATTTATGGTAGTCCACTGTGTAAAATTTTTTTAATACGTATAATTTCTTATTGACTAATGCAGATTCTAGCTATCCAGTCATTACTTTCTACCATCATAATAAGTAAATTATAGGAATATTAAATCTACCAGGATGATTTAACTTCAGGAAATAAAAGACAAAAATTAAAATAACATATTTATTTAAATACGTACACATTTTTCTGAGCTCGAACATTCTATTCCCAAATGACATGTTAGATATAATAGGCTTATTCCAGAGGCATATCATAAGACATAAAGGCAAAGCCTTATAATTATATTTTTTATCGTTAGGAGGCAAAGGAATGCTGAATTTTCTTCTCTTATTTGAGGAAATTAGAACCATTTATGAATCAAATCCAATTACAAATGGAATCTAATTGCATAGTATTGTTAACAAAAATGTTGGCGATTTTCTTAAGGAAAGAAAAAGGATAAATGTTTTCCTTGATCTCGCAGCTTACCATAAGTCCTTAAATTACTATATGCATCCATGACTCAATTGTTAGCTTAACTCTCTTAACGATAAAATACGATGTATATAGTAAAATAAATGTTTTTTTTCTCAAAGATTTGTCTATTTTATCTATTAGGAAGAATAAAGCTTGCAGAAACCTAAGAACATACGGCCAAAAGTTCATCCTGAACAGGATCGGAAACATATTCTTTACCACGACGCTTGTCACGATGTGTAAGGCATTCAACATTTATTGTTTGTGCTTCAGACACTTTTACCATAAAATTTTCAGTTATCATTTTTGAGTCTGATAGCCGAAGAATACTTTTTTCGAGTTCTATTTTTAAATCCGAAAGGCGGTCTCTTAACTTTCTGACGGTCAAAATTCTTTCAGAAAGTCGATTGTTTGTATCCAACTGATCATATCTTAAAAATAAAAAAAATAATAGTCAATAAAATGTGAATTTGTATAAATGCTAAGCATATACATAGCTCACAAAAAATATATAATTAAGAATATAGTCTATGCAAAAATTATTTTAGCAAGATACTAGAGAATATATTTTTAAGTTGTTTACCCTATTATAAGGTAATATAAGGAAAGAGATACCTATCAATATTTATATTTGATAGTAATCATTAAAATTCAATTCGATAAAACATAAAAATTATTTAGAGATATGAAATAACTTTGCTCCAATATAACAATTTTGCTAACTTTGCATTAATATCAGCTTCGATTCTGACCATTCTTCCACGTTGGCTTTGATCACTGGATTGTTTCTGAGCCTCTGTAGCTGATCTACTCACAGCATGCAATTTATGAAACCATGAATCTAAAGTCTCTTGTGTTTTAGGCTTGCTCTCAGTTGCCATTTTAATTAGGTATTGAAATAGTAAACATAGTAACGTAGTCTTAATAATTCTTAAAAACAAAATTGTAAAATTAAAAATATATTAAATTATAAATGGTTTACAAATAAAATTATTTTTCAGGCTATTGAATTAATTTGTAAATTTTAGTAGTTTATTTAAATAGTTTGTCTCATTATGGCTATTCTTAAAGAGTAATGAGATGTATTCACCCTATTTCGTGTAAGGTGATGAAGGACTGGTAGTAGAATTTTCCCA